GAGAGAGAGAGAGAGAGAGAGAGAGAGAGAGAGAGAAAAAAAACGAAAACAATAAATAAAAAGTTATAAGTTTAAACTTTTTTGAGAATATTTTCTTTTTCTTAAATAAGAAAAGTGTACAATTACCCCTGATAATAAGCAAAACTGGTTCAAGTACACCAGGCAACGATATTACTCCCAATATACCAGCTGTAACACCTAAACATTCAATGTCATCAACAGATGATAAATCCCAACCTTTTTAATCAATAAAAAAAAATATACAAAAAAATAATTTCCATAACATATAGAGTTAAAGCAGATTTTTAAGGATATGATTTCATCAAAAAATCCGCCCATTAGTGAATTTATTGGATATTTACCAGCTTTAATTTTGAATTCGGATGTTGAACGATGCCACCATAGCGTTTTTTCATTTTTCACAAAAATATAATAGTTGTTTGTTTGTAACACTTCCATGGTTGGTAGTGTCATTAATAATGAGTACAATTTAATTTATTTTAATAATAAAAACATCAACACATCATTGACATCAACACAAACGAGAATTATTGGTTTGTTACTCATTGTTTGACAACCACTCTTTCATCAGTCAATATTATTGAAATTGTCTGACAGTTTACTGTAAAAATTGTATAATTATTGCACGATGAATGAATTGAATCTATAAGTATTGCACGATGAATGAGTATTGCACGATGAATGAATTGAATCTATAAGTATGTGCAATGACTAAAATATATGAAAATGTTACATGTATGGATATTAAAAATACTAAAGATTAAAAGTTTCATTTAAACAAAAGCCAAAATAAATAATTTTATGACGAATAAAGGACACAATAATAAAGTTAATTTTATCGAAATAGGCCTTTCTTGAATGTAAGACATTATTATTTGCGTGTCATTTCATTGAAGGAATTAACATAATTTCTGTATTTTTTGACAACTAGACTTCTCGAATCTTCATAGTGTTTTTTTTCTTTATAAGAATCACTGTAGTGATCATTACGAGAAAAACAGAGGATAAATAAACGAGGAAAAACACGCATAATATTGTAAAATAAAAATAAATTGTTGGTGGAGAGATTCGGTAAAGTTGAAATGTCGCAGACAAAAAGTTGTCGTGGTGTTTCACGTGTGTTGGACAAATTGGAAGAATCGGTGAGATCGGGAAGATACTATGAAGCACATCAAAAGTATCGAACATTGTATTTTCGGTACTTATCGCAGAAACGATTCGACGAATGTTTAGAATTACTGTATGATGGAGCGCAAAAGCTGTTAGAGAACGACCAATACAGTAGTGGAGCTGATTTGGGTTTATTGGTGGTGGATACATTAGAAAAGACAACAATTGATGACATTGAATTATGGATTCATCGATTGGGTAGCTTATTGGTTTCTATAATTTAGATTATTTATTGATTATTTTAAATCATTTCTATTCTTTTCTTTTGTGATGCTCCTAGGTAACTTATTGGCTAAGATTCCATCAAATTTAGTGGAACGCGAGACTTTACTAGTAAGTAAAATCGATATAAAAACAGGAAAACAATCCAAAATGAGGGGTTCGGAGGAAAAATGTTTCGTAGAAAAGTTCCGTGGAAAAATGTTCGGGAGCTAAATGAT